AGCAGTATGGCATAGTAGTTCGCACAGGTGCCCCTAGCCGACTCCACCATAATCTATTGAGAGAACCACTTTTAAAATTGCTCACAAAGGGCTTTTAATGTTAAAATGGCATAATAATGTATATCTCGACTCTTTTTCTTGCCAAGGATAATACATAAAATTCCAAGACCACTAGGGTATGGACAGAACCGGAAGAAACTACGGTACGCTCTTTTCTYGCGCCAACTGTAACAACTAAACAACTTGCCAGTRAAGCTAGAATAACCTACTGGACTCTGTAGGAATCGAATTTAGTATACTATTCTGTATATTTCTTATTGAAATCTGACTAGTTGTTTGTAAAGAAACACGAACTGTGCATGTCGACTGGTACTGATAGATGGTATTTTCGGAAATCGGTTGCATAAAACAAGCCAACGCCACGGTTGCCAATTCTARTTTCTTGATAACTCCGATGAATGGAGCAACGGAAAAGACCTTTTCGTGTTGAAGGTTAGTATGTTAATGTTTTCTTTTATTTGTATAGACKAGATTTGAAAAACAATGATGTTTCAAGGGAATTTATTTCGAGAAGTCTTTAGTCACGCAATCGCCAAACAATGATTTCTGCATATTTAATGAGTTAAAATAAAAGCTCTCGCAAAAAGCGCACAATTATTTCCCCAAAATAAAAAATACATTTTTCAAAAGAGTAGTTTCCCAATAGTTGTTGACTATAATTTCATAAGATTTGGAAGGATGGCACATAGGGAAACTCGCACTTTTCGAGATGCACTGACCAGCATTGTAACTTAGTGCCCATTGCTTTTTATTGTGTAAAATAATTCTGAGTTGTTCGATTTTTATGAAACTACTCTTAATTGAGCAATTAAGAGTTGTGCTTTTGGCAGAAAGTATTAGAGGGCTATTTGGATTAATAGTTTTGATACACGGACCAAGCGAAAGTAAGCAATTTTCAGCCATCTTTTGGCAGCGAAAATCGTCCCTGGAGCTCAAACCGATTTTTCCCTATTTCTCGAAAACAAAAAAGTATTTTTCAAAACTAACCACACAGCGTTTCTTCCTTCATCAAGCACTACTAAAATCCAAAAGTAGAGCGAATTCGAAAATTTGAGCCTTTCCGCCGTATGTTTGATTTTTACAGACAGTCGCTCTTAATATTTCTTCGAGGAGATTGGATCTCATATCACATGGTGATGACGTCACAACTGTTTTAACTCTGAGTCAAATTTTAGCCCACAACTGCATTTACTAGTGAAATGCTTTATGCTACCTATACCTTGAATTTTTGTATTCCTCTGGGCACAGTTTCATTAAAATCTATAAGACGAAAAGTATAATTTAAGTGAAAACTAAACAATGAACTTCCCGTAGCCAAAATTACTACTTCTGGGGTATCTATTTATAAAAAAAACACAGCTCATTCTATTGTCATATGTCCATAGTACTCCCTTGCAAAATTAGAAGGTAATTTATTAATTAAAAGGTAATCTATTAATGCGATCTTGCCAAAACGGAAAATATATAATTCAAGATAAAAATGCAATGTTTACATTTCTCGTGGTTTTACGGACACTTTCATGAAAAGTATGATCATGCCAAAACTCTCAGCAGACCTTCGAGCTTAATAGAAATAAAGTAAAACATGAAGTTATTTACAAAGAAATGTACAGATCAATATTTGGTGTTGAGTGTATGATGTCACAGACACCTATAGAAATTCCTAAAAATATAATACTTCCCATTGGAATATAAAGACAAAACTTTAACCAGTGATTATTAGACCCTTAGAGATTATTTTATTGAAGTCTCAGCCAAATTAAATTTTGGAAGATTTATGTGCTACTCCCCCTTTAAAGAGTTTATGTAGAAACAATAAAAGAGATTAGAACTGTCAGACTTGTGACACTTAACATTCATCGACGAAACAGTTTACATTTACATTTGCTAGTGAGCGTTTTAGCTTAGTAACATTGCGTGTTGGTAACTTAATGATAATAGGTTAAAGATTATGACAATGTTTCTGGAAACTTTTAAAGTAGGAAGCATTTGAAGATTTCATCTTTAATGCTATTAATAGCTGAAAAATATTGGATTTGGCGTTTTTGAGTTGGTACCTTTTAGGGATAAAAATCATGTGGTGCCACGCCCTTCTTGGTAAGACTCGGGTACCCTTTTATTGGTCATTTTCGAAAATTCCGACGAGCATCCCCACCCTTTTTGGGTTGGAATCCCACCCAGGCGTTTGGAATTAAAATGTAGTAGGAAACTTTGTTGTGAGATGACAATCAAAAACCATGGAGTGATTCAGCCTATAAGAGCATGCATGCTATCTTACAATATCGTGATATGTATTATTATATAGATATCAATGAAATACCAGGTTTTCTCTAGTGTTGAAAACTTGATATCTTTCACCAGTGGAAGATACCATATCTTTCACACGTGAAGATATCGCTGTTGAWWYRG